CCTTCGGCCCAAGGGGGGGGGGGGGGGAGTCCAAAAGTCGTCTTCATTAATATAACAAAAGACACCTTCGTGACTCTCAACAACTAGGAATTTCCAAGAGTTTTGGGAGCTGTGAGCCAGGAACTGGGGTGAAGACCAAATACACAGGAGAAATATATTTTGAGCATCTGAATGACCAAATATGTATTTTTAATAAATCACAAGACCACACCAGAGTAGTGTGGCTCGTGAATATAAAAGGTTGAGGGAGGACCCCAAAACCAATCCCCCCAACACACACAAAGTACGTACCCAAATTCTAGAAGGTCTCTGTCAAAATGCACACTGTCCTCATAGAACACATTCAGCTCTGCATCAACAGCGACAACTTTCACCTGGAAGGCATTTTTGAAAACGGGGTATAGAATCTGTCTCAGCTTCCACAGGGTCCAGGGCCCTAATGAGCGGCCCTCCCAGGAGGCTGGGGTGCATTACTGTAACCATGGCAACAGACGCTCATCCGGGCCTGGGCGAGGTTGGGTGAAAGGAAGAGGCTGAGTCAAGGTAGGCAAAACCACGACCCTCTGTGACCACGTTCACATGGTTCCCGAACTTGGCCTGAGTAAGGCCTCCAGGAACGGAATGAGAGGCAGCGTTTGGGAGCCCCCAAATCTCTGGGGTGCCCTCCGCGGGGACCTGGGGGAGCAGGCCCTGGGCCGCGATCACGGTCCAGAGACACACCGGGTCGGGACAGCGCGGACCACCGACCTCTGCCGCCCGGGACCGACGGGCAACTCGACTCGTGCAGGGCCTCACGGGCTTTGCGGGCAGGGACCGGCCCCCCCAAGGAGAGGGGTCTGACGGTTACTTCAGTGAAGGAAAAGGAGCCCCGGCACCGCACGCGCAGTGTGGAGGCCCCGTCTGGCTGTGCCCTCCGTGCGCAGAGCCCGGGGCGCAGTCCACCCGCCCAGGCGCCGGCAGCGCGGGGTGCGGCGACCGGCGCGCTGGGGCCAAGCGAGGGCGCGCCCGCTGCACCGACAGGTTCGCGCGGCCGTGCGGCCCGGGCCACCGGGGGTGCCTGCGTCTGCCCGTCCGTGCGTCCTCGAGCCGTAAGCGGCCGAGCTCCCCGCGCCCCCGTCCCTCGGCGCCCGCAGCCGCGCGCCACCCCCCGCGGGACCCCGGCGGCGCCGCGCGCTCCCCGCTCCGTGCCCGCGGGTCCTGCCGGGGCGCCCCCGTTTCCGGGAGGCCGGGGGCCGCCGGGTGGCGGGCTCCTCTCGACGGCGCGCGTGGCATCCCGGGGCAGGGGGCGCCGGACCCCCCGGGACACCCGGAGGGAGGCGCGCGCCCGCCGCTCGGCCCCAGCGTTCCCCGCGCCCGGGCCCCGCCAGCCCGGCCGGGCGTCGCGGAGGAGGCGGCCCGCCCCGCCCGGACCCGGGGCCCGCGCCGGTACCTGCTGCGTGCTGAAGTCCCAGCCGAGGCAGCAGCGGCGGGCGGCGGGCGCGGCCATGGCTGCGGCGAGCCCGGCGGCGCGTCCGTCCCGCCGTCCGGCCCGCGGCGCGAGTGTCGCCGCGCCCCAGCGCCCCGCGACGCCGGCCGCCCCGCCCCTCGCCCCGCCCCGCCCCAGCGCCCCGCGACGCCAGCTCGCCCCGCCCCTCGCCCCGCCCCTCGCCCCGCGACGCCCCGCCCCGGCCCGCCCCGGCCCGCCCGACCCCGGGGCGCGGGGGCCCCGCGCGCTCGCGCTCTGGCGCCGCCTGGCGGGAGCGGGTGCGCGGACGCGCGTCTGCCGAGCCCTGGCGCTTCGCACGTGCGCCGCGGACCCCGCCTTCCGGCCCGCCTCCCGCCTCCTCCGCGTCCACGGAGCCTGTGCCCCTGCGCAGGCCGCGCCCGACGCCGCCCGGCCCCGCCGAGGACGTGGGGACCGCGGGACGCCCCGGCCTGTCTCTCCGGCGGCCCTGGGCCTGGAGGCTTGTGTGGCTGGCTCGTGGGCACTAAGGCCACGTCCACCCATGGTGGGGACACAGAGGTCACGGAGACATGTGCCCCGCGGCTGCAGGCGCCCGGATCCACAGGCCCTGTCGTGTCCCGGCAAATCTGAAAGGTTACCCAGCTCTGACATGTGCCACATCCCACCTCTGTAGTTGATTTTTTTTTTTAATTTTTAAAAATCTTTTACTTATTTTTGAGAGAGACAGAGAGCGTGAGCAGGGGAGGGGCAGAGCGAGAGGGAGACACAGAATGCGAAGCAGCTCCAGGCTCCGAGCCGTCCGCACAGAGCCCGACGCGGGGCTCGAACCCACGAACCAGAGATCATGACCTGAGCCGAAGTCCAAGCTCAACCCGACTGAGCCCCAGGCACCCCCCCCCCCGCAGTCTATTTACAACCGGAGCTCTGGCTGTTCCCCACAGAAAGCCTCCTCCGTTCCTGCGGTCGGAGGGCACTGAGGCTCTAGGGTGCGGGACGAGGGGAAGGCGGGCGAGAAGTAAAATCAGACCCGGTCCCCTCTCCCCTGGAGCTGAGGACGCCCCTCCCCGCCTTCCGCCTGGCTGTGGGTCTCGCTCCTAGGCCTGACCTCTTCCCAGGCGTCCTGGGTGAGGCGCCCCTCCCCGCCGGCCCCTCCCGGAGCCCAGGCGCTCCTCTCGGCCCGCGGTCCCAGCGCCCCGACGCCGCAGGCTCCATGCCCGAAGCCGCGTGTTCTCTGAGCAGCCGCGTGACAAGGCCCGCGGCGAACTACAGGCGTGTCGTGAAGGCCGAGGCCACCGGCTCCTTCGCAAGCCGTCTCCCGGCGGCCCTGTCTTGCTGGGGTGCCAGTCTGGTGACTCACCCTCTGGGGCAGCAGCCCTCGCCCGGGGGCCGGAGAAGGCTGGGGGTGGGAGGCCGCGGGGCGGGGAGACGGAAACCTGGCTCCAGGCTGTCGGTGCCTGGCGGGCGGCCCTCTGTGTTGACGCCCTGAAAAAGCACCCCCAGCCGTAGAGGGGGGACAGGGGCCCCGGGGGACCGCTGCGGGGGCCGGAGCGCAGCTCGCCCTCTGCTTATTTGGCTCCGAGCTTGAACCTGGCTCCCTGCGCAGAACCGATGAAAGAGCCCCTTGCACGGACTCGGGAGCAAAGCAGAGACGCCCCGGAGGGGCGCCCACAGTCCCCAGCGAGGCTCCTTCCTCCATCCAGGCCCTCGCTGAGGCCCCAGCCTTAGGGCAACGCGAACCCCCAGAAACGCGGTCACGTGATCCGATTCGCCTGCAAGGACGGTGGCGCGTGGAGAGCCTGTGGCTGCAGGAAGCCTGAGCTGTGAACAGCCCGGGGGGCTCTGGGACCCCGGACGCGGAGGGGAGGCTCAGGAACCGTGGGCGCGTCACAAAGCACCCCGAACGTGCTGGCTTCCGCAGTGTCGCAGGCGTGCTGGGGGCAGGGCGGGGCGGCCGGGCCGGGCTCAGGCCGCCTCCCGGGGCCCGCAGGGGACCCCAGGCCTGCGAGGACGGCCAGGGCAAACCTGTGGGGCCGCCGGCGGGGAGCCCGCCGCCCGCCCTCCGTGTGCCCCCAGCCGGAGTCTCGAAGGGCCAGAGTGGAGGGCGGGGTGCCGGGAGGGGTGAGGGCCTGGCCGGGCGCGGGGAAGCGGGGGAGGGGAGAGGCGGGCGGCGGGGAAGACGGTGGCACTGGCCGGGACGCCGGGACGCCGCGGGGTTCGGTGCGGGTGGGGTGTGCGGGCGGACAGGCAGCGGGGCGAGCGGCTCCGGGCCGCAGACAATGGCTTGTGAGTTTCCAGGGCCCCCAGGAGTGGGCTCGCTTGTCAGAAAGGGCTCAGGGAGGGACCGACGAGCCCCCCAAGGGAGCCGCGAAGGACCAAAGACAGACGAGGGAGCGAAGCCAGTGGAAGAGCCTTTCTGGAAGGGGAGGGCCCACCGGGCTGAGGGCGCATGGGAACCTGCGCCTGGTTTGGCAGTAAGGTGTCAGGTCGCTGAAGCTTCAGCGAGAACGGGCTCAGTGGGGCCCCTTGGGTCTTGGTGTTTGGCACTTTTTAAAATTTGGCACTGTGTTTATGGTTTATTCATTTTCTTACGTGTATACCTAGTTCTGTGGTTCCAAAATGGTGCCACATGAACTACTGATTTGAGGTGCTTCATAGCTTCAACATCAGCTCGCGCTACGTTCCTTTCTCTGATACATCTGAGAAGCCGGGGAGTGCCCAGCAGGCACGCCCATTGTGAACTATTGCAATCACCTAGGCTTATACATATTTTTCTCAACGAGTAGTTTCCAGAGTGAGAAGTCAGGAGTAATCGCTAGCTTTCACTCCTGTTCCCAACCCTTTCCCTTCTAAGACAAAGATGAAAATCACTGAATCAAAAATAATCAGAAATTAGGGAATGAAATAGACAGTTATAATTCAAGTTCATGAATTTATTATATCTGAATTTTATAGATTTTACCTTGGGATATTTTTTGAATTAAATAATTCTTGTCTGTTCGATCGCAAGGGTAGTACAAATTCTTTGTAAGATCAGTGGGAAGCTGTTATGAGAGAGAAGAAATATTTAGAACTCAGCTCCTAAGGGCAGACAGCAGAGATTTGTTTGTCAGAGTCTGAGGGAAGGCCTCGGTCCTGCCTCCAGTTAAATCAGTAACTCATTTAGCTGAGGTGAAGACGCTTTAAAGCCGATTTTTGTGTTTATATCTGGAGAAAAGTTTGATGGACTTTGATGTCTAAGCAAACATGTTCTCAAGAGCCCTGAGGAGAAAAGTGCTTATTTTCACCGGAGTGTGGCTACCCGGGCTGTTTATGTGTTTGTATTCGCCTCAGAAGCAAATTTGATTTAGGAAAATTAAATGTTGGCGTGGATATCTTCCATTTTTCTGATTTCACTGCATTTGTGCCTTGGCATCTGCCTTCCCCCCCCCTCCGTGAACATTTGAGGCAGATAATTAAACCTGTGTACATGAAAGAAAAGTCTGGAAAGATTAACTCCAAGTAATTAACAATTATCTGTGGGAATGGGATTTAGAAGCTCTTGGTTAGAAGGTGACTTTGGTATTTTAATTAACTCAGTATTGGGGCGCCTGGACGGCTCAGTGGGTTGGGTGCCTGACTTCAGTTCAGGACATGACCTCACAGCTCATAAGATCAAGCCCCACGTCGGGCTCTGTGCTGACGGCATACAGCCTGGAGCGGCTTCAGATTCTGTGTCCCTCTCGCTCTTTGCCCCCTCCCCCGCTCATGGTCTGTCTCTCTGTCTCTCAAAAATAAACATTTAAAATAAATAACTAAATAAATAAGCAGATAACTCCTGAGACCCCTTTTTCTGGGACATTCAAACGCTACTTGGGAGGCAGTCCTGGGAAATTTGGTAAAGAACAGAGGGACCAGAAAATGACACGGAAAGGAGGTGTGGGCCGCGGCCTCTTACGGCACCAAAGCTTGGGAACTCCCCGCCTGCCGCAGGGCGGGCGCTTGGACGGGCTGCCGGGCCGGGCTCTGTGCGCTGAGCGCCAGCCCTGTCTGGGAGACCCGCCCCCACCCCCACCCGCCCTTTGCTCCGGGAGGATGGACATTTTTGTCTGTTCTCTTGTCCGAAGCTCCAGGGGGTCAGCTTTGCCCTGCAAGCAGGTGATCATCTTTTCTTTAAAACTCTTTTTTTAATGTTTATGTATTTATTTTGAGAGAGTGTGTGCCTGTGTGCACCGGGGAGGGGCAGAGAGAGAGGGACACCTAGAATCCCAAGCAGGCTCTGTGTGGACAGAGTGGGGTTCGAACCCACGAACCGTTGAGATCACGACCTGAGCCAAAACCAAGCGTCAGACATCTAGTAGACTGAGCCCCCAGGCACCCCACGCTGATGGTCGTCCAGCGAAGGCAGCAGAGAAAGAGAAGAGCCCGGCCCGGCCCTCCCGGGGAGAAAGCTTGTGGGGCCCAGGGCCTTACCCCTCCCAGCCCTCTTAGACACAGACCCCCCCCAGCCCCCAATCCAGAGAGCTCCTCGCTGTCGCAAGGGCTGGCGAAGGACATGAAGGACACCGAGGCGCCCGTCTGACCCGCCCTCCTCTGGGCCTGGGTCTCTGGGCTCTCCAGACCCAGCCAGCTGTGGCCAAGTCACGTCAAGTCCAACACGGCACATTTATTGCAATGACTCACCCCCTAGCTCACCCGGGAGGCCCCATTTTTGGATCTCGAGGGCTGGCCTTGGAGCGGGCCTGCCCCCTCCCCACCCCCCACCCCCGCCCCCAGGCTGGACTGGGCCCCTGGAAGCCGTGCCCTGGAGTCCACAGTGCCCAGCCACTGGGCTGCCGTCGAGACGGTCTGGGGGCCTGGCCCTCAGCCGTCCCGGGTGTCCTCTGCTCCGTCCTGCAGAGATGTGTCCGAGTCCAGGTTCAGGGTCATGGAGTTGAGAATGGTGTTCTTCACCACGTCGTCAGTCCCGTCTTTGAAGGCCGCTTCCTCGGTGACCAGTTTCTCGGTCATGTTCCTGAAGAAGCTGTTGAAGAAGTTGTGAGCTGCGTCCTTAGGGCTGAGCAGAGCGCGGGTGACTCAGAGGCAGCCGCGGCCCCCTCGGCCCTGACAGCCTGGGCTCCGCCCGCTGCCGTCCCCAGCCAGTCTTTGTCGTGCGCCCCAAGGGAGGCCACCTCCAGGGCCAGGCCTGCTCCGGCCCCGCCCAGACCCCTCACGCTCCTGCACCTCCCGGGCTTCTCTCGAGCGAGCATTCACTGTGCACCTGCCGCGGGCCAGACTCTGCCCCAAGCACTTGCTGTGGACTTAGTCCTACCCAGAGCCCTAGGAGAAAGGTTAGGCCTCATGCCTTTACCTCTCTGTACCTCAGTTTCCTCATCTGTAAAACGGGGCATAGTGACAAGACACTTCCATGCGGCTGTGGCCAGGACAACATGTGAAAAGGCATTTTGGCACATGGTAAACGTGCAATACATGTTGGCTGTTATCATTCCATTTTGCAAATGAAAACACTGAGTCTCTGAGGTATTAGAAACTCCCCCGTGCCCACGCTAGGAAGCGGCGGCAGAGGCAGAAATCCCAGCCCTCTGGTTCCGGAGGCTGCTGCTTAGCCACTCTTGCTGCTTTGCATTCCCCCTCTCTACAATGGGGCAAACTCCTATTCGTCCTTCAAAGCCCTACTCAATGTCACTTCTTCTGTGAAGCCCGCCCCAACCCAAGCTACTCTTCCTCCCTCCCAGACCGTCCATAGGTCCCGTGCAGCCCCCCTCAGAGTCCCTTAAGTGAGGACTGTTTGCATGTCTTTCTCCCCATAAAACATTGCTTGAGGCTGGGGACTTCTTACCTCCCACAATGCCTGGCACAGTCGGTGCCAATAAGAGTTTGAGGAGGGAGGGAAGGAGGAGAGGATGGCAGGGAAGGGGAAGGCCAGAGACAGCCACCCTCGGACACGAGCACAGGGCGCTGGAGGGCATCAGGCAGCCTCTGCCCCTCCCGGTGCGCGGGCCCCTCAGGTCCCGGGAGAGCGCGTGCGCCACATGGGCCCAAACCCCAGTGGGGATGGTTGCGCCGGTCACGAGACCAGAAGAGACCAGAGGTCAGAGGGGCCCATGGAGCAGTCAGGGGGGAGCCCAGCTCCCAAACAGGGCTCTGGCTGCAGCCTGGAGGTCAGGGCACTGAATCAAGACGGGATCCTCTTCCGGAACCTGAGAGTTCGGCCAGGAACGCAGCGGTGCTGAGACGGCTGGCGGCCAGCCTGGGAGGGAGCCCGGGCATCCGCGGGGACAGCACGCAGTCCCGGCCGGCAGCCAGGGCGGGAGGAAGGGAGACCCGGCCCAGGCTGCTCAGGGGGCCCCGAGGACGGGCTGCCCGGGGGACGCGGTGGCAGCAGCTGGGAGGGCAGGGCGGCCCTTGTGTCACGGGCGCGTGCGGCCCACCGGCAGGGCCGCACGGGCGGCATGCTGTCAGCGCCGGGGCCTCCCCCTACCTTGTCTGCAGGGGGTAGTGCTCCAGCATGTCGGGGAGGGGCTCCTCCTCCGTCTCCGGCAGCAGGGAGCAGAGGAACAGGGCCAGGACTGCCGAGACGCAGCAGACGAGGGTGGGCAGGACGGTGGGTGTCTGGTTGATAATCATCAGGGACAAGACGGCTCCGGCTGCCCAGGCCAGGGACACCAGCCCCAGACCTGTCGCCCTGCGAGGGGAGGGGGAGCTCGTCTGGGAGGCCTGCTGGGCCCAGAGGCTGGGGGGCGGAAGCAGCAGGCCCCCGCCCCCGCCCCCGCGCACCCTTGGAGCATTCGGCTCCCCCCGATTCAGGGCCTACTTCATGGGTCAGGGGCCCAGCGGGCAGTGCATGGGCGGGGCGGGTGGGGGGGAGCCTGAGCAGCGCAGTCACATTTCAGGCCCGCGTGCAAGGCAGACAGTGCCGTCGGATTGCCCGGGTCTGCCCTTTGCTGTCCGGCGTCCACCTGACTCTGGTCTGAGGTCGGGCTAAGATGGAGTCTGGGGGGCTTTCTGTGAGGGTCAGTGGGGCGATGCAGGGAACCACTCGGTGCATGCCTGTCCCCGGGTGCACCCGGTGTCCGTCCCGCACCGTCCTCGCCCGCCAGGCCACCTACCTGAGGACCGTGGGCAGCAGCTCTGCGGTGTAGATGAAGAACACGCTGGCCGAGGCCGCCAGGCTGAACTCCCCGAGAGCGATCACCAGGACCATTATGGACTTCAGCTCTGTGGCCAGACAACGGGGCCGCCTGAGTCTGGGGCCACGTTCCCCTGGGGACAGGGCTGGGGGCCGCACATCTGCTCTCCTTCCATCCCTCTCCAAGGCATCGGAACAGCCCTCCCCCCCCACCCACCCACCCCCCGGTGGGCAGCTGGTCCGCAGACTCAGGCCCCGCCAGGCCAGGGGTCCGTGTGTCTGCAGTGAGACTGTTCCTCCCTCCGCCTCTTTGCGCCCGCACCCCGGCCCTCAGGCTCCTCTGTGGCTTCCACAGCCTCACCCAAGGCAGCCCCCCCTCCTCCTCGCCTGCTCAGGGCCGCCCCACCTCCCCTGTCACCCTCTGCAAGGTGCCTGGGGGACGGGAAGTGACCGGTCCCTGGAGCCTGAACTGTTTACACCCCAGATTCCCGACCCTGGGCAGCCAGACAGGCGCCTTGCGGGGGGGGGGGGAAGCGAAGACCCCAGGAGGCCCCTTCCTCAGCCCTGGGGAAGCCCCGGAGCGGGGGGGGGCTGGGAGCTTAGGGCTGAAGCCGCAGGTACCGTTTATCTATCGGATTCCTAGGTTCCCTCACACATTTGAGAGTTTTAAGCGTTTCTGTTTGACTCAAAAGGCCCACGTTTTACAAGAACCACCGAGCAATACAAAGGTAGCGATGCATTTGTGTCCCCCATGTGTCTCAGCCAGTCAACGCTGCCGGCCTCTGAAAGAGGAAGGGGCTGGGGGGCAGCACACGGTCCTAACCCCCCCGAACAGGAGGGCTCCCCTGGAGGCAGACCCTGGATGTAGCCTCCCCACCCCGCCCTGCAGCCACGGGGGTCGCATGGGGAGCAATTCTGACGGAGTGAACACTGACTTCCTAACACCCGGGTCCTCAGCCCTGTGGCCTGGGCCCTAGGCCTTGTCCAAGGGCTCTTTGAAAGTCTGAAAATATTGCTCCCTCTCCCCCCCCATTTCCTTGTCTGGTTCTGAGCTGAAGGGTACGGTGCCTTCCTGGGAAGGAGAGGCCACCGTGTGAGAATGTTCCGGAGCGTTTAGCCCTCTGTGACATGCACTTTTCAGTGGGCAGATCGTCTTTTCCCGTGAAGGTACAGACCAGAGGCGTCTCCCCATCAGAGGCCGCGGGTGAGGCGCAGGGCCCGGGGGACCGGCTGACGGCGCGCCTCTGGTCACACCCGGCCATCAGACCTGACTGGGTGGCAGCAGGCCCCCGCTCTCCACACGAGGATGGTTCGTCGGCCGCACCCCGTCCTCTCCCTGCTTCCAGCACGCAGCCTTGGGGCTCCCCTCTGGGGAGGGCAGTGCCCCCGGGGCTGGCGCCAGCTCCGCGCGGGAGGCGAGCCGTGGGAGGACAGTGACTTCGGGGTGTCCTGTCGGCCGGACAGGGGAGCAGGAGGGGGCGTCGCGGAGGGGGGGGCGAGCTGTACCTGAGGGGAGCGTGAGGGCGAGCAAGCACATAAGGGAGCCTTGGAAGAGAGTCGCCAACAGGCTCCACTTCCTCCCGACGTGCTCGAGGAGGAAGACGCAGCACAGCCGGGCGGGCACCTCCACGATGCCAGGGATCACGTATCTGAGGTGGACGTTCATGCCAAAGTCCTTCAGCTTCAGGCACACGGTGAAATAGCTGTAACCGACAGCAAACCTGGAGGGAAGCGGGAGAGACACTCAGAGGCAGGCAGGAATCAAGGCAGAGGCAGAGGGGCGCCCGGGTGGCTCAGTGGGTTAAGAGTCTGATTTGACTTCAGCTCAGGTCATGATCTCATGGTTCGTGAGGTCGAGCCCCGTGCAGGACTCTGTGCTGACAGCCTGGAGCCTGCTTGGGATTCTCTGTCTCTCTCTCCCTCTCTCTCTGCCCCTCCCCTGCCCGAGACCTCTCCGTCTCAGAAAGAGGTAAATAAACTTAACAACAAAGACAGAGGCAGAGCCCAGTGGGGCAGGATGGGATGGGAGAGAGAAATGCAGAGGCGCGAGCTGGGGACCCAGAGAGCAGCGCCTGCGGCCCGTGCAGCCGCGCCCGCCTCGCCGGAGCCCCCGCGTGCGCTGCCGTCCCTGCGGGCGGGGCCCCAGACTCACCACACGCAGCCCATCACCAGGGTCACCTTGCGGAGGTGCCTGTTGCCGCAGAAGTCTAGGATAGACGCCTTGGCCTTCTTCTTCCTGGGCAGCTGCAGCTGCGGGCGTCGGGGGCAAGCGGAGACCCCGGCTCGCCCCGCCCCGCGGTCCCCCGGGCCCCTGGCCGCCGCGGGCAGCGTTCCATCCGCGGTCACCATTCTCCTCACAGCCTGGGCTGGGGACACCCTCTGGGCAGAGGTCCCCCCTGAAGGGATGAGCCGGGCGCCCCTTACCTTGTCCAGCAGACTTAAGGGAAGGGTCGTCTTGTTCACGTCGGCCGCGTGGCACAGCGCGCGCTTGGCGTCCTCCAGCCTCCCCTTCATCAGCAGCCACCGCGGGGACTCCGGCAGAGCCCTGCGCGCCCCCAGCCCGCTCTTAGAGGCCGAGGCCCCCAGCGGGAGGGTGGGCGTCGGAGGCCTTGAAAGAGACCGCCCACCTCAGGGTGCCCCTGCCCCTTCGTGCCAGTCAGCCCCCCCGCCCCCCGCCCGGGCCACGCACGCCCCCGGCCCCCGGCCCCCGGCCCCTCCTGTTCAGCTCCCCCCC